TTCTAATGTCATTAATAGGTTTTAGGGTATTAAGGATTTCGAACGTTTGGATTGTTTCATGTTTTAGGACGGGATATAGAAGGTTGTCTTTAGGGATTTGGCCAGTTATTTCGTCGTAGGTTTCCGTCAGAAATTGTTCGTATTTTCCTAGGTCGATGAGATGAATAAGTCTGAATGTTCCGTCCTGTATTTTCGCTTGTCCATTGTCTATTGTTACTAATTGAGATTTACTATAGTCAAGAATTTGTATGTCCGATGAAGAAGTAGAGATCGTAATAAGGAGAATGAAGAGTTTGTAGAGGTCCATTTTATCTGAAAACTAATTAAGTTTTTATTAGGGATTTGTGAACTATTCGTCCTGATATTGTCTTAACTGTTGTCCTGTGGTTTTCCGAAACTTTCTCCTTTTTATACTTTGGAGTCAATTTGGAACCTAGTCTTTTATTGATTTTAACGTAAATAATTTCTCCTGGTGAGAAGTCCTTATTTTGAGGTCTATTTTTGTTGTGGTACGAGAGGTGAAGTTCTTGTTTTTTCTTAAGTAGTGCTATGTTTTCTTGTCTTTGTTGTTCTAACTGTTGGGGGTCGCTATGGATTCTATTACCGAAAAATGTGTCTATTGGTTTGTTTTTCGTCGTTGAGTGTATTGAGGAATTGTATTCTTGAACTGATTTGAATAGTAATTCTTCAAACGTTATTCCCACGGAAGTTGCTTTTAGACATCTCATTATTTCAGAAAGTGTACTATGGAATCTTTCTATTTGCCCATTGCTGGTGCTACTGTAGGGTGGTGTGGTATAAATGTTAATTGACATTTGGTCTCTGAGTAGGGATGATATTGAAGCGGAGTTAAGAGATTTTTCGTTGTCGATTATCACAAGTTTGGGGATTCCGAACGCTATCATTAATTCTCTAATTGGGTCTTTGATATGTTCTATTGCCCTGGAAGGTATTACTTTCACATGTCGACATGGACGATTTCACCTGGGGACTGTGGAATGGGGGTCGGTTGAATTTGTGGTTTGGTTGGATGCCTATCGTATTTATGTGCACGACAAGTTGAGCACTGTTTAACAACTTTTTCGATTTTTGCGTGCATGCTTGGGAAATAGAGTTTTCGTAGAATTTGGGTTTTGTTTTCGCGGCTATTCCTATGAGCTCGCTGATGCTCTTGTATGGTTAATTGTTCTTGTTCGGTTTCTGATGTGATATCCTGAAGGAGAGTTTCGGTTCGGCTTCGGTGGCCGGAATAAGGAGGTGTGAGGAGCTTTCGTCGCTATGGTCTGTAACTGTAAGAGTATTAATGTCAGTTTGTGGGGGTCTCGAAAGTGCGTCTGCTACGACGTTGGTTTTTCCGGGTTTATACTTCATCTCGTAGTTATATTCTTCGAGGATGCACTTCCACCTTTTCATTTTCCCATTATGGTTTTTATTGCTTAATGCAAAGGTGAGCGGTTGGTGATCTGTGAAAATTACATGAGAAATTTGCATTGGGGTTAAGAGCTGTCTGGACTAAATTTCGTCCTTCTTGTCTTATAATGTTGTTTACTAGTCCTGTCACTAAATTAGTCAATTGGTCCATATTAAAATAATTGGAGTTGGAATTGGAAACACTTGGTTGTGTGGGTGCGTTAAGCACAGGGGGCGGACAAGATTATTGGGATTAGACATTTTATTTCTGTTCTAAATTTTATAATTTTTTTTTATTTTTTATTATCTTATAATTCTTCTCTAGGGTCCCTTGGGTGGTGAATCGCAGAGAATTTTATTGTTATAAGCTGGAGGGTACCCCGTTAGGTGGTGAATCGCAGCTTCAAATTATATTATATTATTGGCTGTACCAGCCCGATATTATATTTGTGATTAAGTCCTCCTGGTGTTGGGGTATAGTTTCCCTTTTGCTGCAGCTACTCGTGGTACCACCAAACACACTTTGAAGAGGAGTGCGTTTCTCTCCTACAGGAATTTAACGCTGCTGTCTCCTGGACCGGCTCTTTTCTTCACGTTCCTTGGGTATTCCACTTTTCTTGCACGCAGACCAATGAATGTCCTTGTTGCAGTCTATTTCACTTCACATGCGTGCTGTGGATTTCCTTTTGTGAGTTTCCGCGCATTGATTTTCGGCTGTTTTTTTCTCACAGTCGTTTTATCATCACTTATTAATATTAAGATTTTCGCGCGTTGACACTTCGGCTGTTTTTTTACAGGCGTTATTTTTTTGCACTCACTACCGAAACGCGAACTTTGAAACCGGCCCCTACTCGGGCGCCAGTTAAAGTTTTATTTAATAAACTTTATTTTTAAAAAAGCTCGCGGACTTTTGTCCGCTCATGTGTTTATTTATTTGAATCCAACTTAAGATTAATTACAATATATTTCTTACTTCTACATTACACCTATGTCGACCACCAATTTGCTGACTGTTGTTGACCGTAATGTTGGTTATCAATATGCTGACTGTTGTTTACCGTAATTTTGTTGCTGATCGATACATTTAGTAATTTGATGAAATATTCGTGGAATGCTGATGCAGCGTCTGCGGTTATAACGAATTCACCGGATGTGTTATCGGTGCCACTAACCCATGGGGTTATTGTCCAATTCGAGGTACTGTAAGGTGTGGTGTTAACTTGTATCTCAAAAATATGTGGGAAAATCCCCAACTGACCCGAAAAATTTAGAATAAAATAAATCAATCTCTATCGCGTAGAGTAGACGTCCAGATTGTGTTGTATTTCATTTTTATCAATGACTAAAAAGTCATTTTGAAAAGGAAAACCATTTTTTAAACAAATTAGAATATTTGCGGAAATATTTACATTCATGTTCTGGCTGTAGCTAAGTCACCTCTGCAGACTCAGCTGCAGTCAGGAATGTAAATATGTTCAAAAATATTCTCGCTATTATTTGTTAGGTTCTCGCTATTATTTGTCAGGTTCCGAGAGACCCCAGGTTTAATTGCCGTCTGCCGAAATACATTACTTGTACTTTTTCACCATTGTTTAAGGAATAGAAATAGCTCTAAACTGGTTCCGAACAGGTACCGAAAGTGTCCCGAAATGATGCCAAACTAGTCCTGAAATAGTCGTGAACACGCCCCGAAAAGTTCGAAAATGTCGTGAGCTGGGAAATTATCTTGGAACAAGCTTTGACGCGGTCCCGAAATGGTCCCTTATTAGTTAAAAATTATCCCAAAATGGCCCTAAAATTGTCCTGAACTAGTCCCGAAATGTTCCTAAATAGTCTCGAACAAGTCCAGAAGTAGCCCTAAACAGCTTCCGAAGAGCTAGTCCGGAAGTTACAATTTTTTGCTGGGTTAAAGCAAATTTTGCCCATACCGAGAGCTAAGTTGTTTACACATCATTAAGTTGTTCTTCTATATAATTCCAGAATATCAGTGTTGACCCTCGTAAGTATTACCATCGCGCTAGCTGTTATAATTATTATAATGCGTTATTGTTGTCATTACATATATATTTTTGTCATTAAAATTAGTTTGTTGTCATCGCTGAGCGGATGAATGACGTTGCTGTAAGCTGCTGCGTGTTGATCTCGTCATTGGTCGGTCAGCCGTGTCAAGTGAATTGTAGTGATGATAGTGGCGCTATCGCTGCTGTCGCAGTCGCGCTGCAGTTACTTTGTGTTGACTTCCAGCGGGAGCTTTTTTGCGCCGCTGTTGTGTTGTGTCGTTGATTGCGACAAGAGTTGAGTCGAGGCGGGTGTTATTTAAATAACTATTGTTTTGATCGTTGCAATGGATTTGCGTAGCTTTGCTTTGTTTTGCATTTGGCTATTTGCTATTGGATTCAGTACCACCACAGTGACGGCTAGACCGCGTGGACGACCGAGTAAGTAGAGTGGTGAAGACCTATGTGGGCGATAAGTACATACATAGTGATTAAGAATTAAGAGTTAATTAAGAAAAAACAAAGCAAAGGCGTGGCGAAAAAAAATAAAAAAATATAAAAATGGGCAACCATTTTGCTCAATAAGGGCTGCTTCCCCCAGCCAGACCATGGATAAATCTTGATTTCAGGGGACTATTTTTGATTTTATGACCTCTTAAAAAAAAATTAGTTTTTTGTCTCCTAAATCCGCGAAAACAGTTAAAATAAAGCGTTAAGTAATTTTTATGCCTTTTTTAGGTTATTGTTCTAATTTACGGTATTCCTTTAAGATTATTTTTACTTCTTACTTTTTTTTTTTAATTGATAACACTGATACATTCAAGTACATACATATGTATTAGAGTCCAGCGCAATTGTATTTGCCGCATTTCATTCAATAAGT